GGAAGAGGGGAGGAGGAGAGGGTTTAGGGGGAAAGATGATAAGTTCTGTTTTGGACGTGTCTGCTTGTAACTTTGCAGAATGTGGGGAGTGATGTAGAGAACGCATCCTAGAAAATCCTGTGCATTTGTACCCTTGGCCTCACCTGCCTGGTCTGAGGAATAATAATGGCTAATATAACGACAGCAAGTCTCTTTCCCTCTCTGGGTCACAATCTGCTCACGTGAAAAAGAAGAGGGTTAGAACTGATGATGCCCCAGCTCCTTTCAACTTAAAAAAAAAAATCTGTTCTTTCTCTGAATCCAATGATCCTAAGTCCCCTAAGGTTTGCAAAACACTTTACACCTTTAGCTTATTGGATCCTCACAACAACCCTTCAAGGAGCTATTATCATCTTCATTTTACAGATGAGGAAACTGAGGCTGAGAGAGAAGTGACTTGTCCAGGATCACAGAGGAAGGAAGTGTCTGAGGCAGAATCTGACTGAGCCTCAGAGGTCCCACCAGGGTGTTTATGTTCCCTCAAGGCACTGCCCCTTTGTGCTCGATGTAAAAGTGAGGCAGGCTCAGGCTACGTGAGGCCTCTTTTTCTGTTCTTAAGAAAACAGAAGGCATTAAATTCTTACCCTCTCCTGGGGGCTTCAGGCCTCCAGAGAGGTGAGCCAGAGGAAGGAAGCCCAGATGTTATACAAAGGGCTCCAGCATCCCATTGGGTGGCCCTCCTTAGGAGCCCCCTCTAATGAATAGGCTTCTCCCTGGGGCTGATGAGTGTCCTCAGATGACTTCTGGGAAGCAAGGGCCTTTTCCTTTCTGGTTTACAGTCTGCTCATGTGAAAAAGAAGAGGGCTGGAACTGATGATGTCTCAGGTTCTTTCCAACTTAAAAAAATCTATGTTCTAAAGGCCCTCCTAGCTCTGAATCCTATGATCTTAAACCCTCTTATCTGGTCAGAAAAACTGGAGTCAATAACGGCCAGAGAATCACTGAATCTCAGAGCTAGAAACAACCTCACAGGGCATTTGCTCCAAACTGGCCCCAAATCTTCTCAGCCAGGATCCCTCCAAATGAAAGCCACCAGAGACGGGGAACTCACTCTCTTTTTGGACAGCCCCTTCATTGGGTGGATGGCTCTACCTGTTGGGAAGAGTTCCCTTATATTAGATAATATCTGTCCCGTTACAATTCCCTAGCTTCCATGCTGCCAGTCCTGCTCTTTGAAGCCAGCAAGGCGTGCCCTTGCTCACAACATCCCTTAACACCCAATCTAGCTCTCACCTCCACCCCCAAATCTTCTCCAAACTAAACACCTCCAATTGTAGCCGATTATCTCATAGTGGTTTCAAACTCAACTTGTTCAAGATAGATCTCTCATCCTTTTTCTCCCCAAGTCTACTCCTGTTCTGAACTTGCCTATTGTGGTGAGGGCACCACCATCTTCCCAGTCATGGTTCAAAACCTCAACTACTCACTCTCACTTATCTTCCACATCTGCTCCACTGTCAAATCTTGTCCATTCTAATTTTCCTGATCTCTCTTTTATATGTCTCCTTTTCTTCTCTGACATTACTGCTGCCCTAACTCAGACCTCTGGCACCTCCCAAACGGACTATTGCAGAAGCCTCCTAGTTATTCTCCCCACCTCAAGGCTCTCCTCCATTCCAATCCATTCTGCACTCAGCTGCCAAAGTGGTTTTTCTAAATAAAGGACTCACCCCCACCCAACCCTCACCCCACACACACTCAGTAAACTCCAGTGGCTCCAACATCAAACACAAGATCTTCTGTGGGGCTTTAAAAACACTTCACAATCTGGCCCCTTCCTACCTTTAAGAATCTTTTTATGCTTTCCTCCTATTGACTAAGGCAGCTAGATGGAACAGTGGATAAAACACCAGGCCTGGAGTCAGAAAGACTCATCTTCTTGAATTCAAATACGGCCTCAGACACTTCCTAGCTGTGTGACACCAAGCAAGTCACTTAACCCTGTTTGCCTCATTTCCTCCTCTGTAAAAGGAGCTGGAGAAGGAAATGGCAAACCACCCCCAGTATCTCTGCCAAGAAAACTCCAAATGTAATTACAAAGAGTCAGACATGACTGAAAAATGACTGAATAAAAAAACAACTTATCTACTAACGTGACTATTCAGGACACTCCCTTTCCCATCATCCCTTTGTACTGGTTACCCCTCAAGCCTAGAATGTTCACCTACTCCCCCCATTATCTCTAATTCCTAGGTTCCCTGGCTTTCAAGACTCAGACCAAATCCCTCATTCTGGAGGAAGCCTTTTCTGGTCCCCCCAGGTGCTAGTTCCTTCTCTTCTCAGACTGTCTTGTATATACCTAGTTATATGTCCATGTTTTCTCCTAATAAGAATAGTTAGTGCTTTTTGAATATTTGCAAAGTGCTATACATATGTTATTTCAGTTGATTCTCACAACAGCCCTAAGAGGTGGGTGTTATTATTATCCCCATTTTACAGATGAGGAAATTGAGGATGAGAAAAGTTAAAGGACTTGCCCAGGATCACACAGATAGTATCTGAGGCAAGATTTGAACTCAAGTCTTCCTGACATTCTAACCTATATGACCTCCTTGAGGCTGGAGATTGTTTTTACCTTTCTTTGTATCCCCAGTGCTTAACTCAGAGCTTAAGGAAAATACATACAAATGTACACATATATACATATGTATGTGTGTGTGTGTATATATATAATATACACGTATATTTTTGCCCTTAGCACTTTGGGACTGAGTAGAACATAGAGTTACTTTCCACTGTGTCTTTCCCCTAGGTTGGCTCAGCCAGAAGCACAGTGATCACCATCATTCCAGAAGGATTCATTTTATTCATTAAAGACTTGGCTGACCATGAAGCTAGGGCCCATGATGGGAGGGTCAAGGGCCCTGGTGAGTCAGAGCCTTGAAGGGAAGGGTCAACTACAGACACATAGGGAAATATAGGAGAGTCCCATTATGCCACATTTAACTTCCAAGAATTCACTCACCATAGTGCATTTAACTTAAGGAAATTCAACTATGGACTGAGCAAAAAGAGGAAGAGAAGAAAAGAGTAATTCACATGGCGCAGCTATTCTACTCAATGCTCCCAATAAGGTGAGATGAAGATAAAATCACATGCTATTTGTGGAATCCTTTCAAGGTATCTTTTCTCCCCTAATTATCAGTTTCCCTGCCAGCTAAATCTTTACCTATTTTGGTTTTCCTCTAAATTCTGGTTTCTAACTCATTTCTAATCAGCAACTTAGCTGGGTATTACAAAAAATAAAATTTATATCCAGTTGTTTCCATAAGAACCATGTCATTTCCCTTCCCCATCCTGATTCAGAAGGTTTTCTTTTGGAGACCCCAGTCCCTTTACAGCTATTGAAAGACACTCTACTATCCTTTCTGATATGTTTCACCTTTCCTTCTGACTTAATAACCAAACCTCATACTCTTTACTATATGGAAGTTTTTGTTACTTTGGTCAACATAGTCATATAGAAACATTAACCAACTCCTCATCCCCTCCCATGTGGATGATAAATACTCCAGCTTTCTTTTTTTTTTTAAATATTTTTTTCCAATTACATGTAAAAATAATTTTTAACATTCATTTTTTAAAATTCTGAGTTCCAAGTTCTTTCCCTTCTTCCCCATCCCCTCCTTGAGAAGAAAAGCAATTTGATATAGATTATACATGTACAGTCATTCCAAATATATTTCCATGTTAGCCATGTTGCAAAAAAAAACCACAGACCAAGAATACCACAACTTTCTAGGGACTCTCCTTGACTTCCACGTCTCCCCTTCCCATCCCTCCCACATAAGGCTGCCACAATAAACTTCTTCTCTGAAAAACCGGCTCTCTACAAAATAAAGCCCAGATTCCTTTGCAGATCTTTCAAGGGCCTCCACAGTATAGCCCCATTCTACCTACTCTACCTCTCACTTCACTGCTCCCCAGCACTCACCTTCCTCTTACGGTGAGGTCAACCTCCTCATTGCTCCTTGGACACACTGTTCATTCCCACCTCCCTGTCTTTGCCTCACACTAAGCCCCATCCGAGAGTGCCCTCTCTCTACCCTCATGTCTAACCTTATCCTTCTTCCAATACAGGCTGTATCTCCATTAGAATGGAAGCTCCTTGAAGGCAGGGGCTGTCTTTTGCCTTTCTTTGTATCCTCAGTGCTTAGCACAGTCCCTGGTATACTGAAAGCCTTTAATAAATGTCTATTGATTGACAAGTCCTACCTGAGGTCTGCCATGGAGCCTTCTTTGACAAATCTGGCTGGCCCACAGTGACTATTTCCTTCTCTCCTCTGACAGCACCTCTCCTTTAGATCCCATACCTTAGCACTTAATTAGATTGGATCCTTGTTTGTTTGGATGACTCTTCTTTGTTTTGTTTCCCCCTGAAATCTCTTATCCTCCACATGGCATGTTCTGCTAATACTACTATTTGGCCCTTTTTTCAAGGATCAAGATTCAATGGAAATCACAAAATCTTAACCAAGAGACATCCCTGTTTAGGCAACCAGACTATGCTTATCCTTGATGGAGGCAGGAAGGGCCAGGGACACTCTTCTTGCCCTGGACACACTGCCGTTCAGACCTCTAAGTACAATTTCAGGATTCCCAAGAACAGGGAGACCTCTCCATTCCTTGGGCTTCCCCAGGGGAGGTATTAACCAGGCCGGGTGACCCAAGAGATAACCATCTCCCAAAGGCTTTGGGAGGTTTCTCTGTATCCACCATCTGCCATGTCTCACTTTCCTTTCTCTGTATTCACCATCCACCATGCCTCGCTTCCCTTTGTCTGTATCCACCATCTGCCATGCCTCGCTTCCCTTTCTCTGTATTCACCATCCACCACGTCTCGCCTTCCTTTCTCCGTATTTACCATCCGCCATGCCTCACTTCCCTTTCTCTGTATCCACCATCCACCATGCCTCTCTCCCCACCTACTCCCCAGCTCCAAACGGCCAAACCACCCTTACCTGGAAGCCGCAATCTCCGCTTTCTGCTTGGCGATAGTGGCCGCTCGTTCAGCTGCCTCAACAGCGCGGTCGACCTTCTCCCGGATCTTGCTGGCCCTCAATGGAATCAGGTTCTTGCGCTTCCCGCTCACCAGAATATTCTGTTTATATTTCCCTTCCTCCTTCGTACCATCCGGGAAGGTCATGCACCCATAGCCATGACGTTTATTGTTGGCCCACTCCCCCTCGTACTTGAGTCCATCCGAGCGCTGGCTCAGCCCAAAGCCAGACCGTTTGTCATTCTTCCACTCCCCCACATAGGTCTCAGTTGTGGTGGCATCGATGTCATCCTCAATGACAGACAGCTCCGCCTCCCCCTCACCCAGGCTGATGGTGGAGTTGATGTCACTGGCAGTGGAGCTGACCGTACTCATTCCAGCCTCGCTGCGGAAGGAACTCTGCTTGCTCCTCTGGCTGGCGAGGCTACTCTTGGATTCCGACTTCCGCAGCTTCAAGCCACTTAGCAGGGACCGCCGGAAAAGCCCCTTCTTCTTGCTCTTGAGGATCTCGGCATCGCTATGAGCCACAAGGACAAAGCCCCCCCGGGACACCGCAGGGCTGCCGGCCACAGCAGGTGAGGCATCTGGATGCAGTGCTGTGCCATTGGTGTGCTCACTCCTCAGCGAGTTGATGGACGTCCTCAGGGGTGACCTGATGACCGCAGCCATGCCGTACGGGACGCTCTGCCGGACGCCATAGCCTTGGCGCATTCCACCAACCCACTGACCCTGGTAAGTCCCTGGGAAAGACAGAAGACAAATGAGTGAGCTGTTGTTTCAACCCTATGTAGGGTACAACATAAGTTAAGGCAGGAGAAAATCCTCTACAACAAGGAGACCAACTTTTAGAAGAGAGAAGAATGGGGGAGAGAGTGGGGAAGATCTTTTATCATCTCATTCCTCTATTCAAAAACCTTCAGTTACTCCTCACTGACTACATGATAAAGTCTAAACTCTTTAACTTGGCAGTCAAGGTCCTCTGCAATATGGCGCCAATCCATGGACTTTCTGCCCTACCCAGACTGGTCTATTTCCTGTCCCCCAAACATCTTCAGTGAATTCCAAGTTCTCTGACTTTGCTCAAGGCCCTAACAGAGAACTGGCCCAAGATAGTAACAGTGTAAAAGGCTGGAGTGCCAGAATGGCTACTCTCAGATTAATGAGTGGTCTCTCCAAGAACAAGAACATCCCTTGGTCAGCAGGCATGGACTGGAGAGAAGATGGGAAGAAGGAGGGCATTCCTAGCTATTACTCTTGGATCTGGTTTCTCCCAGAGGCAAAAGTGGCTTCCTGCACCTGCAAAAATAAGACCTCTCCATAAAGTTAGCCCCAACACAAAGGTTTACACAATCCCAGATCTGGTAGATTCAGACAAATCATAAGGGGAAAAAAATCAACTAAACCATTTGAACAAACTTCCAAGTCCAGTCAGTAAAAACTATCCATTGAATAGTCAGGCAGACCCACAGATCATCTATGCTGAATTTATGACAGGCATGTGTCACAGTAGAGAGAACAAGCAGTCTTAAAATCAGGATGATTTGGATTCAATTCCTGCTTCTGATACAGACTTGCTGAGTCTCTGAGCAGGTCACTTAGCCTCCCAATTCCCCTCCCTTTCTCTCTTCGTCCCCCAAGATACTCTAACAATATAAGTCACCGTGCAGGGGACCATCCAGATTAACAGGGAGATCCCTCTCCCAATGCAATCACAGGTCCAGGACAAGCAAAAACCTTGGTGCATAGGGTCTAGATCTGGAAGGCCCAGAGAGATTAAGTAATTTGCCCAAAGTTACACAGGTTATAAGTAACAGAAGCAAGACCAGAGCCTGGAGAACTGTCAAATCCGGTGTTCTTTCCTTTCTAACCAACTTCCATACTGCCTTCAGCACATCATGGGGACCTTCAAGTTCATCTAGTCCAGCTGCCATTTTACAGATTAGAAAATTGAGACTCAGAGAGACACTTGTGCAGGGTCACAAAACTGGTAAGTTATTTGAGGCGGGATTCCAACCCAGATCTTCAAGTACCATACTCTATCTACCAACATTGCCTCTCTTCAAAGATTCCATCAGTGTGGAGTTCCCTCCCCCACAGTCCTTTTTTGTTGTAGAAGACAATCTGTATTAGCTGCTGTAAAAATAAACATGAATCATTTGGTGACTAATGAGCCCTTCTGAGTTCAGCTAGGCTGATTCTTAGACAACAGATACAAGAGATAGAGCTTGGGCCAAGGCTACATATTCAGTCATAATATCATCAAAGGCAGCCAAATGATGCAGTTGAAAGCTGGACTTGCAGTCAGCTTGAGTTCAAATCTTGCCTTAGACACTTACTAGTCATGTGATACCAGGCAAGTCATGTGAGGCTCTCTGAGCCTCAGTTTCCTCATCTGTAAAATCAGGAGGTTGAGCTGGATGGCCTCTAAGATCTCTTCCAGTTCTAAATTTCTGATTCTATGATTCCAAACTGGGGGGGGGGGGAAGAGGAGACAACTCCTTCTAAAAAGTCACATCAAGGTGTGTTAGAGGAAGGAGCAACAAGCTATGGGTGAGGCTAGAAGAATTTGGGGATGAGCAAGAGAAAGGCAGGACTAAGACGCCAATTAAGGAGCCCATCTACCCAAAGCAGCAGAAGACACTGAGCACCTGAGACCTTCAGAAGCAGGAAGGATCCAGTTTTTATCCTTTGAGTGGGGGTAGGGAATGGATGAGGTAGCCTCTCAGTGGTCCCTTTAACTCCTCCCTGCTATGGGAAAAAAAAAAACTGGAGACTAGATCTGAAACAAACAAAAATTAAACCTTTTGCAGAAATAATGATGGTTAGTTCTCTTCCCCTCAAAGCCATTAGAAAAGAAGCTCCTTAAAAACTGGGACTGTTCATTTCTGTCTTTGTATCCCCTGTGTATAACACAGTGTCTGGCACACAACAAGTCCTTAATGAATGCTTTTTGATTGAGTGATTGCAGCAACAGTTAATGTTCCATAATGTCTCTAGTTTTAGGTTATAAATTGCTTTTTCTTGTATCTTTCTTGGAATAGGGCAAATGCAAAAATTTGCTTTATATGTCTATACATTTTTGTAATCAGTTTTATTTCTCCTGCCTTCTCAATGAGTAGAAGAGGGGGAATGGGAGAGAATTTGGAACTGAAAATAAAATAAAAATGAATTTTTAAAAAAATTATAAATTGTCAATCTGTATTAGACACAGAGTTTCTTCACCGGAGAGGTGAACGACCAAAATGAAATATGTGATCATCTTTTAAGCTTTCCAGGAGCCAAAGCAAGAGAGTAGAAAATTCAGCAGGTGGTGGGGAAGGACTAAAATCATGTTGTCATAAAGCAACAACTCAACGTCTAGATTGGCTTTAAGGTCTACAAAGAGATTGCTGAGGCTTAGGTATTACTGTTTCCATTTTACAGATGAGGAAACTGAGGCTCACAGCTGGGAATGGGCTTGTCCACAGTTAACACAGCCCACTAAGTGTCTTTGATGGACTCTATCTTTTCACATCTTTTTGTCCTACCACCCAAAGCAAATGTCAGATCTCAATTGCTATACCAATGTTGCCAATCTCAAATTGAAATGGGGCCCCTAAACTATACATATTGACTTAGAAAACCACATATTAACATTACCTGTCTTCTATTGCATGTAAATCATCTTGTTAAATATTTCCCAGTTGCATTTTAATCTAGTTTGGGCGCACCTGGGAGTATATAGGGCAGTATGTTTGACCATAAGGTCTGACACCAACCTATACCATAAGGGTGCCCAATGAGGAAGTCCAAAGCCAGAGCCACTTGAAGGAACTTTGGAGGAATGGAATCCCAGAGGGAAAAAAGAACTGTGGGAGCTATTGTCATTAAGTGGGAAAGGAACAGGTTCCAGTGAGTGTCACCAAATGGACAACAACCCCTTCTCTCCACCCACACAGCAAACACTCTAGTTCATGCTCTCCTCACTGCTGTAACAGTCTGCTAATGGATGTCCCGGTCTCAACTCCTTCTCCACTCCAACCTACCCACAGTAAAACTACCAAAGTGATATTCCCAAAGCCTAATTCTGACCATGTTAATCCCCTGCTCAATAACCTGTAACGGCTCCCTATTACCTTGAAAATCAGATATAGAAGGGGCAGCTAAGTGGCGCAGTGGATAGAACACTGGCCCTGAAATCAGGAGGACCTGAGTTCAAATCCAGCCTCAGACCAAACGCTTGACCCTTACTAGCTGTGTGACCCTGGGTAAGTCACTTAACCCCAATTGCCTAAAAATTAGAAAAAAATCAAATATAGACGCCTCTGTTTGGCATTTAAAACTCTCTACAACCTTACTACCCTACTGTTCCAACCTTGGTATATCAAGTGCCCCAAGGGGACCTGAGTGCACCAGTATCTATTGGCAGGGGTAGAAAACCTTTCAGAGATAGCCCACTACATCTTCATGTATTCCTTCCCTAATTGTGGGAAGGTTAAGGTTGCCCACAGATCACCCCTTCTCCAGCTGGTTACCCTTCATTCCGATGCTTTGGTCAGAGTCAGATAAAGTATCAAAGCTAGGAAAATGGTAGGGGTAAGGAATCCCCTTTAGAAAATTCAAATATTCTATACCATAGGCAGGTATCAACTAAAACTATAATTATCAGTTAGTACCCTAGCAGGAATTAGTTGACAATGCACAGAACACAAGATACGACCCAAGGGACAATGTGATACATAGAAGGGGAAAAGTACCAGATAGAAAACCAGAGAACCTGGGTTCGAATCCTAACTCTGCTATGTATCACCAGTGTCATCTTGGGTGGGTCTCTTAACTGTGCCTCAGTTTCCTCATCTGTAAAAAGAAGGATCTGGACTCAATGATGTCCCAGATCCAAGTCCATGATGATGCCAGACAGAAAGAGGAGGAAGGAAAGGCATGCTGGTAGACAAAGTGGGAGATGCAAACTTCCCTAGCTTGTATCTTCACAGTTTTGCTGAGGGCTAGACCCAAACAAATGACTTGGACTTTTCTCCCGTGCTCTAAGTTTCTGACTTTTCATCTGGTGAACTCAAACGCCACTTTCTCCAGGAAGCCTTCTGTGAGCCCAATGTGAATGAAAAGCTTCCTCCCCTCTTGGATCTCAGAGAATTTTGTTCTGTACCTTTCGGATGAGCTTTTCGTGAAATACTATCTATTTAAATTTATGTCTTTCCCCTCGATTGTTTGTAAGCTCTCTGATGGCATGGACCATGAATAACAAAAACAGCAATATAATAACAGCCAACAATCATGTGGTACTTTAAGGTCTGCAAAGCACTTTACAAGAGCCCTAAGTGGTAGGGGCTGGTGCCTGGCAGACAGTAAGCTCTATAGAAATGCTATTTCCTTACCCTTGCATGCACCCTGAGCGTAATATTCTTTAGTCAACTAGCATTTAATAAATGCCTACTATGTGCCAGGCACTGTGCTACAAAAAAAAAAGGCAAAAGATCCCTGCCTTCAGGGAGCTAACAGTCTGCACACAGTGGGCATTTAATTGAATGGAATTAAGGATCAATTACACAACCAATCTGGATTTGAAGGCCAGAGAATCGACTTAGCCAAATCACTCGTCAACTCATCTAGCACACACCTTGAAAGGTCCATCGTAACATAACTACGTGGTACCTTCCTGGGTTAGACTATATCAACACCTTACCTCTGAGAAGTTGTCCATTTAATAGAAAGGGGCTTAATGTGGAGTCCCTGAGCTTGT